TATATATATATATTATATATATATATATATATATATATATATATATATATATATATATATATATATATATATATAATATATATATATATATATATATATATATATATATATATATATATATATATATAGATATATATATGTATATGTATGTATATATATATATATATGTATGTATGTATCACGTGTGCGATTTATAAATGTCAGCTTGTGTGAGCTACAGGATCGATAGTGTGCGGATGCGCTGTGCTGAGTGCCGCTTTGTAAAATCGAGACTCCCTCGAGTGTCTTCGACACCTCGACACACTCCAAATGCACAATACTATACAGTTGTACCCAACCACTCACCAATATTGTCAATAGCTTTTTTGCGATTGCCCACCGGATCATTATCCCAATCCGTTGCAATGATACTCCAAACATTGATGATCTCAATACTGTTCTTCCGTTGCAGTGTACTTCTCCCCTTCGATCCCTGCGTCGCCATCAAAGTGATATTGGACGTCGGTGCGGCCACTCCATTCGGCTGCTGCGACTCTTCAACAGGATTTGGCACCTCGTTGGCCTGTTTTTCGGCTTCGTCGTCTGAGTCCCCGTACACACGTGGGCCTGAGGGTGTCTTCTTTGGCTTGGAACGGCTGAAGAATCCCATACTTCGCTTTGAAGCGGTAGTATCCAGTGGGGCAACATTGCCACCCTCTTCTTTGTCCTGTATCGTGTGAAAATACGCGAAAATGATTGAGCACACAAACTCGAGACTAAAAACGTATCAAATGATCGCCTATAGTGACCGATATAGCAGTTGAGTCAAGCGCCTTATAGGTGTACCTGTATTAGTCCCAGCGATTGTACAGTTTCTAGCGATGAAAGCGTGTCCAGTACGGTTTGCTTGTTGTTTTTTTGAACAGCCTTTTTCACGGTCAATGGCGAGTCTTGATCTACAATCACCTTCGGACCGCCACGCCCGGGGATATACGAGGCACTCGGGTCGGTTGTGCTGGATGTCAGTGTGTCTTGGTCTTCTTGTGTTGGCGATGATAGTGTAGTTGCTTGCGGACTTGTACTAGATTCTTGAGAAGGACTCTTAGTTGAGGGTAATGGTGCACTGCGTTCAGGCAATGCGGTATTGACAGGTGTAGGTGGCTCTCGAAAGTGTTGTGGAAGAGCTTGACTCGTATCCGCATCAGTGGGAAGTGACGTGATGGGACGTGACGGAGGACTATGTCGGGAAAATCGAGATGCGCGAGAATATTCTAGTTAGACAACCTTCGCTTATAAACAAACCGTAACTATTTGTATAGATGCTGCATAGGCGACAGAACATACATCAACACAAAATCGATCCCGCCAAGTAATTTTACAAGCAGATAAATTAAACTGTCGTCATTCACTTCATTAAAAACATTCGAATTAAAAGGTATCAATATTTTCAAGAACCCAACCTATCAAATACATTC